TACTTGCTAGGGGAGCTACTTGCTAGGGGCGCTACCTGCTAGGGGAGCTACCTGCTAGGGGAGCTACCTGCTAGGGGAGCTACCTGCTAGGGGAGCTACCTGCTAGGGGAGCTACTTGCTAGGGGCGCTACTTGCTAAGGGAGCTACTTGCTAGGGGCGCTACCTGCTAGGGGAGCTACCTGCTAGGGGCGCTACCTGCTAGGGGAGCTACTTGCTAGGGGAGCTACCTGCTAGGGGCGCTACCTGCTAGGGGAGCTACTTGCTAGGGGAGCAAGTAGCACAACACAGTAACGGTGCTGTGAGAGGTGTGTGTACTTGAGAGCCAGAGACTTAAGTGTCAGATGTTGTAGTGTAAGAGTATAAAGCTTGACACTTTACTTATAACAACTCTCGTAATGCCTTACTTAAGACGGGCACCAACAACTTACAGGAAAAGTGTAATTGCTTGAGCTTTATTAGCAGGCTTGTAGCTCTAAAGGTGTTTGTTTGTTTGTTTGTTTCTCTACAAGAGTCCTGCTGCTTCATGCAACTTTATTGCATTTTTGTCTTTCTTTCTTTCTTTCTTTCTTTCTTTCTTTCTTTCTTTTCATTTTGGCTCGTGCTAATTTCATTATTTTTTTTTTCTATCTTTTGTTTGTTTGGTCCGATGGTTTATGTTTATAATTTTGTTTGTTTTGTTTGTGTGTGTTTTTGTTTTTTTCCTCCCCGGGTAGTTTTTTTGTTCTCGTTTGGCTGTTTTTTTTTGTTGGGGGGGAGACTCCTGCCTCCTGTTTTCATGTTTTGTTTGTTTGTCTCCTTTGTTTGTCTTGTCTTTGATGTGTCTTTGTTATTTTTGCTTAATTGTTCTTTTATATGTATAATTTTTGTGGTTTCTTTCGTTTATTTTAATTTGTTCTTTGTTTATCTGACTTTTCCCTATTTTCATGTGTTCTCTTGACTCTTCCTCTTATCACTTCCTCCTGTTTATCTTCCATATACTGTGCTCCTTTTATTCTCAGTCTCCTCTTCTTCTACCTCCTTTACTTAATCCTTGTGATTCTCTTCATTTTTTTATTATATTACTTATCTTTCTTCTTCTCCTCCTTCTCTTCTACATATCATTCTCGTCTTGTAATCCTCCTCCTCTTCATTCTTCTACTCATTCTCCTCCTCTACTCATTCCTCTTCATCCTCTCTCTCTCTCTCTCTCTGCTTCTTCCTCCTCCTCATTCTCGCATCACCCTCTGTTCTCTGGTTCTCTCTCCTCTGCTCCCTTCCCATAATTTATTTTTTTGTTCTTCTGGTGACCTCCCTCCTTTGTTATGGCCGTCTTGGTGTGCTCCTGCTGCTGTCGCCTCATTGTTCTCAACTTCGTTAACTGTGTGGCCATGTAACATCTGTGGCCGTGCAACATCTGTGGTCATGCAACATCTGTGGCCGTGCAACATCTGTGGTCATGCAACATCTGTGGTCATGCAACATCTGTGGTCATGCAACATAATATGGTCTTCGGAAGTGGATTTCTTTCAGTGACCTATTTCGACATATTCCCTGACCTGTCATTAGTGTTGTTTGCACGTCAGAGTCAGTGACCTAATTCGACATATTTGGTGGGAGGGGGGGGGGTTATGACCTGATAAGTGACGTGTTGTTAGTTGGTATCTTTGGTAATGTGACCATTTTTATGTGCTTATCTTTTGTGATGTTTGTTAGTGTCAGTTTTTTGAATGAGTGTCTTGTGATAAGTATGACGTATCTGAATTTACCTGAGAGCCACCTTCTCTCTAGTGGTCAATATATTGTTCGTAATAGCATATCATTTAATATATATATATATATATATATATATATATATATATATATATATATATATATATATATATATATATATATATATATGTCGTACCTAATAGCCAGAACGCACTTCTCAGCCTACTATTCAAGGCCCGATTTGCCTAATAAGCCAAGTTTTCATGAATTAATGTTTTTTCGTCTACCTAACCTACCTAACCTAACCTAACCTAGCTTTTTTTGGCTACCTAACCTAACCTTACCTATAAATATAGGTTAGGTTAGGTTAGGTAGGGTTGGTTAGGTTCGGTCATATATCTACGTTAATTTTAACTCCAATAAAAAAAAAATTGACTTCATACATAATGAAATGGGTAGCTTTATCATTTCATAAGAAAAAAATTATAGTAAATATATTAATTCAGGAAAACTTGGCTTATTAGGCAAATCGGGCCTTGAATAGTAGGCTGAGAAGTGAGTTCTGGCTACTAGGTACGACATATATATATATATATATATATATATATATATATATATATATATATATATATATATATATATATATGGTGTATACTGGCAGCAGGTTTTCTTTCAAACATGTTTCATTGAATATGACCACATATTCTGTATTTATTATTTTCTGGTTTAGGGCTTCTATCCCTCTAACTATTTTCTTAGCATCAGGGCTTAGTTGAAATAGGAGTTCTCCAAAACTCATTTTCGTACTTTTAAGGTGAAGAAAAGAAGTGATTTACTATAGAGTGTATTACACTTATTTATACAATTTGCACAACGTTTCGATATATATATATATATATATATATATATATATATATATATATATATATATATATATATATATATATATATATATATATATATATATATATATATATATATATATATATATATATATATATATATATCTTTGGTCATTGATCGTTTGGTGTGTGTGTCGGGCGGCGAGCCAGAGCGTCCGGACGAATTCGTCAGTTTGGATGCTAAAAGTTGCCTGAAGAGCTGAGCCATAGTTGTTAATAAGATATGACACCTGTCGAGAGGAAGGGGAAGCACCATTACTCAAGGTCCCATTTGCTTTGGGTTTGCACAATTGACAGCTGGTAATTGGATAACCGAATCCTTGGTCATCTGCATTCTCTGTAGCATTCTACAGAGCTGTGCAGCAGTTGTGGGGTTTGCAAAGATTTTTATACATTTCCAAGCTTGGAGAAAATGACTGGAGGGGGGGAAGGGGGGGGGGTGATGATGGGCCCAGCGTCGGGGGGTACTGGAAGACGAGGGCCTTACCCCTGCACCACCACAAGGTAATCGCGTTGTTACCAGGTCACTGTGTAGTTAACAGCTTCGTTTACTTCCTATGTTACGAAAGTCTAAGTTCTTTAATTTAATTCGTAAATGTTTGAACACTTGTAATTGTTATTAGTTACACCCAAATTACCGAAGAGATCATATTAACACTATGACATGACATCGTTATAATTATATATATATTATATAATCTAAGATTTCGAAGCTGTATTTGTCAGTGATGCGTTGTATTAGAAACAAATTTGTAGATAATAAGGAACTTTTTTTTTGTATATAATCAGAACTGTTTTGGGAGGTGAGTGTGGGGGGCAGTCTGCACCTTCGGCAACATTGAACTCGCGCGCGCGCGCGTGTGTGTGTGTGTGTGTGTGTGTGTGTGTGTGTGTGTGTGTGTGTGTGTGTGTGTGTGTGTGTGTGTGTGTGTGTGTGTGTGTGTGTATGTGTGTGTGTAGGGGGGGGGAGTTGAGAGCTTCGTTCTTTTGTCCCCGAGGCGTCTGACGACTTCGAACGGGAGTGAAAAAAATAATTTGCCTTGAGTAATTTGACGATGTCATTACTAAAATATCAAGAGAAAGCGTTAATTAGATCAGTAGAGCGACCCTTAGACGGGATGGGTCCAGCCACTTGGACCACAGGGGATCGAACGCCGACCTTGCAAGAAGCAAGACCGTCCATTGTACGAGTTATGTGGATAGTTATACATGACGAGTGGTTATGTGGTTACGAGTTATAAGTTATCACTGTAACTTTCGTGTTTGGGGGATGAGCTTCAGATAGACTGCGACACGTGAGAATATGTATCCGCCAAATGTGTTACATGTGTTCTCTGATGCCCTGAGAGGGTCCCAATAGTCTCAGTTTAAACTAAAACCCGAAAAGAAGTACTTCCGTAGAAGGATAATAGTGTAATAGTGTATCCTAGGATTTGATAATACTTCATCTCATTTGTTTATTAGTAATACTGTATCCGAGAATTTTGAGGTACAGAATAACAAAATCTGTATCCTAGATTTTGTTATACTGTATCCTAGGATTTTGCTATACTGTATCCTAGGATTTTGCTATACTGTATCCTAGGATTTTGCTATACTGTATCCTAGGATTTTGCTATACTGTATCCTAGGATTTTGCTATACTGTATCCTAGGATTTTGCTATACTGTATCCTAGGATTTTGCTATACTGTATCCTAGGATTTTGCTATACTGTATCCTACGATTTTGCTATACTGTATCCTAGGATTTTGCTATAGTGTATTCTAGGATTTTGCTATACTGTATCCTAGGATTTTCCTATACTGTATCCTAGGATTTTGCTATACTGCATCCTAGGATTTTGCAATACTGTATCCTAGGATTTTGCTATACTGTATCCTAGAATTTTCGTAATGTTGTATCCTCAATCTATATCCTAGGACTAGCATGAAGGAATTTCTTCAATATTGGCCTGAAGATACTTAGGAGTGTTATACAATGTACGAAGTTTCAACATTGTAGTCGCACATGGAACCTGTTTATACATTGTTCAATGTTCACCCGATCCCGTCTCAGGGACCGTCAAGGATCACTCCCGTCTCAGGGACCGTCAAGGAACACTCCCGTCTCAGGGGACCGTCAAGGAACACTCCCGTCTCAGGGGACCGTCAAGGAACGCTCCCGTCTCAGGGGACCGTCAAGGAACACTCCTGTCTCAGGGGACCGTCAAGGAACACTCCCGTCTCAGGGTACCGTCAAGGAACACTCCTGTCTCAGGGGACCGTCAAGGAACACTCCTGTCTCAGGGGACCGTCAAGGAACGGCTCCAGGATGTTCAGAAGACGCGGGTCCTGCCATGAACGTTCCTGGGATGGAGCCGCGGGCGGTGTAGTTCTTCCTCGTAACGACACACATCAGTCACCATAACTTAGAGTTGGGCGGCAGGCGTGATGGACGGGTGGTGGGCGGCAGGCGTGATGGACGGGTGGTGGGCGGCAGGCATGATGGACGGGTGGTGGGCGGCAGGCGTGATGGACGGGTGGTGGGCGGCAGGCGTGATGGACGGGTGGTGGGCGGCAGGCATGATGGACGGGTGGTGGGCGGCAGGCATGGTGGACGGGTGGTGGGCGGCAGGCATGATGGACGGGTGGTGGGCGGCAGGCATGGTGGACGGGTGGTGGGCGGCAGGCATGATGGACGGGTGGTGGGCGGCAGGCATGATGGACGGGTGGTGGGCGGCAGGCATGATGGACGGGTGGTGGGCGGCAGGCATGATGGACGGGTGGTAGGCGGCAGGCATGATGGACAGGTGGTGGGCGGCAGGCATGATGGACGGGTGGTGGGCGGCAGGCATGATGGACGGGTGGTGGGCGGCAGGCGTGATGGACGGGTGGTGGGTGGCAGGCGTGATGGACGGGTGGTGGGCGGCAGACATGATGGACGGGTGGTGGGTGGCAGGCATGATGGACGGGTGGTGGGCGGCAGACATGATGGAACTCCCCCCCCCCCCCCCCCCACCATCACATTGAAACAAACAACTCACCATCAAACATTTCTAAATTTCATCAACACTCAATTGTATTTAAAATCAAAATTAAAAAAAAAATCCTGAGTTCGGCAATATTTGGAATCGTGAAATTGATCCTCTGGAATTGGACCTCCGATTTCCCGGGCCTCGAACTCAGACTTCTTTAATACTTCGCCCTAGAATCTGGTATCTCGAAATCCAGGAACACACCCGCTCTCCTTTAACTGGAACTCCAAGAGAACCAATAAGGTGGAAATAAAAATTAGTCGCACTTTGCTCTTTCTTGTTCCGTAAAACCCGGAATTGAACCACAGGGGGTACTACAGAACCTGGGAATACACGACGGAATAGAACCTGGCCACGACAAACAGAACTCCTAGAACCCTTGAAATATTTCCTGGTATCATTGAAACTTAAACAACCCCGAAGGCTGACTGGGCCAGGGTGATGGATCACGGGGGACATTATTAGATTTAGTGTAGTCTTGAAATTGATTTACAAAGACCGGCCGTAAGAAACAGCGTTGGTTTGAGAGACTGGAGATGCGGAAATTTGTACGTGAATTCTGGCATATGAAGTTGAAGGACGTAAATACTGGAATCTGGAACTTATTCAAAGGAATCCTGGACAGTGGAATTCGAGCGCAGGAATCTGATGTATCTGCCAAGGTTAATGACCGCCAAGTAATTTGGACTCGGTGGGGGGTACAAAGCCCGCAGCTGGAGATGGCTGCTCCCAGTTCCATTGATGAAGAGGTTTCTAGATTTTAATTGCCTGTGGTGTTCCCCCCCCCCTCCCCCCCATGTGTTGTTTTACAGGCGTTGTTTTCCAGGTGTGTGTTAAGGTTGAACACACACCTGGCTTCCATGGCTGGGGCTGGTCTAGTGTACTCACCTAGTTGTGCTTGCGGGGGTTGAGCTCTGGCTCTTTGGTCCCCACCTCTCAACTGTCAATCAACTGGTGTACAGATTCCTGAGCCTACTGGGCTCTATCATATCAACACTTACAATACATGTGGTACAAATACAATAGTACCAAATTCTACTTTCTAATTGTCCATTCCGTTAATATATGTACGACGGTCCACATCGTTACTGTAAGTACTGTCTAAACAGGGGGAGGGGCTGTCTACTGTGTGTTGCGAAGGTTCCCGTTCTCCCGAGCGTTCCCAACGTCAGAAACTGTCGTGCTAAAGTGTCTTAACCTAACCTAACCTAACCAACAGAAACACGTCAATTTCGCGAGCCGCTACCATTTTGAGAAGAGCAGCTTTGGGCCGGTGGTGGAGTATGCGTGACAGTGTAGTGTAGTGTAGTGTGTTCAGTTGGGGCTCACAGGACCAGCTTGGTCAGTGATATATACAGCGAGACGTGCACCCTCTTCTCGGTGTATATACACTCACTCTTTACTTCGGTCTTGATCTCTTTTTAAGGTCTTTGGAATCGAATCATTGACTTGAGTCTTCGGCGATTCGAATTCGGGCATGAGAATACGAGACAGTGTTCACAACTACAGCAAGTGCACCTGCTAGGTGAAACCAACACCCAACCAAAGGTCCCTCGGTTTTTTGGCATCATTTTAGTCACCTTTGCACTTTGTTTAGTGATGTAGTTATCCTTTTGTAGATATAGTCACTATACAACATTCCAAGCTGGAGAAACGATCCCTCGCTTGAATTAAACAATACTCCTCTTAACTTTGTGTTAAAGAAAAAAAGGTCGATATCTTATAAAAGTTTAGTTGGATTTACTTGGCAGCTGCTCGCACCTGCTCGCACCTGTTCCACCGCTGTATCACCTGTGGGATTTATTCTTTGTTATAGGTGCCTTGCTTACATAGAACACTTGTGCCTCTGGACTGCTTTGAGCGCCAGTCTCTCAGACGGAGAGTTGAGCAGCGACTCTCAGGAGGAGTCTACGGAGGTCATGTCTGCTGGGAAGCTGTGATCACTTCTCATATACCGCTTCAGCAAGTGTTGTTGGGAACCGCTTCAGGAAGTGAAGTCAGAACCCACCCCCAGCTCCAGCACCCACCCCCAGCTCCAGGACCCACCCCCAGCCCCAGCACCCACCCTCAGCCCCAGCACCCACCCCCAGCCCCAGCACCCAGCACCCACCCCCAGGCCAGCACCCAGCACCCACCCCCAGGCCAGCACCCACCCCCAGCCCCAGCACCCACCCTCAGCCCCAGCACCCACCTCCAGGCCAGCACCCACCCCCAGCCCCAGCACCCACCCCCAGCCCCAGTACCCAACCCCAGCCCCAGCACCCATTCCCAGCCCCAGCACCCAGCACCCACCCCCAGGACCCACCCCAGACATTAATCCACTTCAAAATACGCCTCATACCTCACATCTCAATAACCCCCAAAGCCCCCCAGCACACTCCTGCCTCATTGCTTGCCTTTCCACCTCGCTGCGCGCACCACAAACCTCAACCACTTTAATTTCGGCAGGTTTAGTTTCTTTTTATCTCCCCTCCCCCCCTCCTCCTCCCCCCTACCTTCCTTGCCTACACCCCTACACAACCAATACCCTATCCACACCCCATGCCCATATCTTACCAGCACCCACACAACAACATTACTCATTCTGATATTCTTACTACATATATGCCTCCCAATATTGTCCTTATAGCAGAATCTCCGCACTGCATCTCCCTACAGCATCCAGCATGTAGCCTCCTGCTGCTACTCCTGCTGCTGCTGCTGCTGCTGCTGCTGCTGCTGCTGCTGCTGCTGCTGCTGCTGCTGCTGCTGCCCCCAACTCCCTTCACAGCGCTTCGTTGGTGTTATTGTTTTAGATTCAGCTACTGGGGACAAGAAGTTGCAAGTAGCACGGGCTATGGCGAGCCCCCTAGTGGACTTATCCGGCACAGGAGCTGGGTTATGACTTGCACACACACAGCTATAAGAGTCCCTAGTTAACCCTCCAACTCCCCCCTCCACCACCCAACCCCCAACCCCACCCCCACCCCCATCTCCACCCTCACCCCCACAACGACTACTGGGAGCACCTGGGGAGTCGTCACCACTTTGATGTGTTGATCTTCACCTCCCCGAGGGTGGCGCAAGAAATTCGATAAATTGCCTCTGCTTTCTTGCAACCTTCCTCCCTCCCTCTCCCTCCCTCTCCCTCTCTCCCTCTCCCACTCTCCCTCCCTCCCTCCCTCCCTCCCTCCCTCCCTCTCCCTCTCTCTCTCTCTCTCTCTCACTCTCTCTCTCCCTCCCTCCCTCTCTCCCCTAACACCTCCTTACCAAATTAAAAAGTAATTAAGTCTTTCAATTTAGACTTTTTTATTGTAAGGACGAAGAGCAGGTCTGAGGAGTCCTTCTCTTGGCCCCTCCCCCTGCTTGGACTCTACCTTCCTTCTTAACCACCAAATTAAAAGGTAATTGAGTGTTTTGACCAAGAATTATATTTACTTTTTTCTCATCAGGGCTGTGAGCGAGGAGTTTAGGAGCAGAGGGGAAGGATGAGGGAGGGGGAAGGGAAGGGGGGGGGGGAAAGATGTGGGAGGGGATGTGGTCAGTGGGAAGGTGGTGTGGCTGAGAGGGGAAAGGACGCGGGTAGGGTGCATGTTAACTCGCTATGGATGGAAGGGGGAACTTGAGTGAATGCATGGGATGGACAAAGGAAGGAGGAAGGGTAGGGAGAGAGGGAAGGGGGATGGGCAGTCCGTGGGTTTGAGCGAGCTGGAATGGGGAGGCTTGTTGATGGTAGATTGGGGAGGGTTGTTGATGGTAGATGGGGAGGCTTATTGATGGTAGATTGGGGACGCTTGTTGAAGGTAAATTGGGGAGGCTTGTTTAAGGTAGATGGGGAAGGCTTGTTGATGGTAGATTGGGGACGCTTGTTGAAGGTAGATTGGGGAGGCTTGTTTAAGGTAGATGGGGAGGCTTGCTGATGGTAGATTGGGGAGGGTTGTTGATGGTAGATGGGGAGGCTTGTTGATGGTAGATTGAGGACGCTTGTTGAAGGTAGATTGGGGAGGCTTGTTTAAGGTAGATGGGGAAGGCTTGTAGATGGTAGACGGGGGGGGGCTTGTTTAAGGTAGACGAGGGGAAGCTTGTGTAGGATAAACGCTCCCTCATGTTAGTAAGGGGAAGGAGACAGCCACTGAGTTACAAGAAGAGGGGATGTAGTTGAAGACGAGGAGAGAGCTCTCCAGATGTGTGGTGAGGGGTCACCACACTGAGGGGAGAGAGAGAGAGATCCCAAGAATCCAACAAGGGGAGTTTTTTAAGAGGGGATTATTTGAGTAGGAGAGGAATTTGTTAGTGAGGGGGAGGACGTGTAGTGTGAGTGAGTGAGGGGACACCAGAGTGAGGGGACACCAGAGTGACGGGACACCAGAGTGAGGGGACACCAGAGTGACGGGACACCAGAGTGAGGGGACACCAGAGTGAGGGGACACCAGAGTGAGGGGGGGGGTGAACTTAGCTACTCAGCTAATCAGAGACTTACGAACCCAAGCAACCCCACCTGACCAATTGAGAGTCCGATGCATAGAAAACGTAGATATTTTTGAGCCGGTAACTCTTCATAATAGGTTGCATTTGTAACGTTGGTTACAGGGAAAGGGGGACGGGGGGGGTTGTGGATTAACAACCTGTCCGATGTGTGGAGTTGAAGGTAATTGTTCCTTTGAGTTTAATTGTTGGTAATTCACACACCATATTTTTGTATTTTAATTGATTATTTCTGTCATTGACCTTTGAGCACACTTCACCTGGGGTTGCCCTGGGACTTTGACCCTTATCAGTGGTCCTCCAAGGTAGTTAGCTAGCTCTCTCTCTCTCTCTCTCTCTCTCTCTCTCTCTCTCTCTCTCTCTCTCTCTCTCTCTCTCTCTCTCTCTCTCTCTCTCTCTCTCTCTCTCTCTCTCTCTCTCTCTCTCTCTCTCTCTCTCTCTCTCTCTTTCTCTCTTTCTCTCTTATATATATATATATATATATATATATA